TCCAGCACCACGCTCATCACTCCAGCTTCTAACAGCAACCACAACCTGCCAGCCACAGATGTCAATCAGAACCTACCGGCAACTGTCACCCCGCAGAGCCTGCCACTTTCTAGTGTCCAACAGAATTCTTCAGAAGCACAACTCCCGCCTAATGGCACAGTGCCAGATTTCAAACCCAGCACCCTGTGTGCTGGTGGGCAGCCCCAGGAGCCAGCTGCAGAGGTGAGATCCAGCACCCTCGTAATTGATAAGGTATCAGCTCCATCTACCACCACCAGCGCCTTCTCCAGAGAAGTTACTCCCATCTCCAGCTCCGGGCCCCCAGCCCCAGATTTCATGTCCAGCTCCCTGCTCATCGATGTCCAGCTCGGCGCCCCAGTGGTGTCAGCAGAACAAGAGATGTCCGGGCAGGCAGCCACAACCATGCCCACCAAGCTGTACAGTGAGGTCCACCTCACGCTGGCCAAGCCCCCATCCGTGGTCAACAGGACAGCCAGGCCCTTTGGGATCCAGGCTTCAGGGAGCACCAGCCAGATGGAGCGGAGCCCCATGATAGAGAGACGACATCTTGGGGAGAAGGCCCCAGCTACCCAGCCCCCCAGCATAGCAGACCGGAGCCCTCGGCCACAGAGACACGTAATGTCCCACAGCCCCATGCTGGAGAGGAGGCCCATGGCACAGCGAAGCCCCGCCTTGGAGAGACGCCCCTTGGGAGCCTTCACCCCGCCCCCTACCTATGCTGAGACCTTGTCCACGGCCCCCCTGGCTTCCCGGGTTAGGTCTCCCCCCTCTTACTCTGCCCTGTACCCCTGCTCCGACCCTAAGCCTTCTCATCTAAGGGGCCAGGTGGTTCCTGCCAGCAAGACAGGCATTCTGGAGGAGTCAATGGCCCGCAGGGGCAGCCGGAAATCCATGTTCACCTTCGTGGAGAAGCCCAAGGTGACCCCGAATCCAGACCTGCTGGATCTGGTCCAGACGGCTGATGAGAAGAGGAGGCAGAGAGACCAGGGGGAGGCGGGCGTGGAGGAGGAGCCCTTCGCGCTGGGGGCCGAGGCCTCCAACTTCCAGCAGGAGCCCACAGCCCGGGACAGGGCCAGCCCCGCGGGCGCCGAGGAGACTCTCCCCGAGTGGGCCTCGTGCCTCAAGTCGCCGCGCATCCAGGCCAAGCCGAAGCCCAAACCCAACCAGAACCTCTCCGAGGCCTCCGGGAAGGGGGCTGAGCTCTACGCCCGCCGCCAGTCCCGGATGGAGAAGTACGTCATCGAGTCTTCGGGCCACACGGAACTGGCCCGCTGCCCTTCGCCCACTATGTCCCTGCCTTCATCCTGGAAGTACTCCACGAATGCGCCTGGTGGCTTCCGAGTGGCATCCCGAAGCCCAGCTCGGACCCCGCCTGCCTCCTTCTACCATGGCTACCTGCCTGAGAATGGGGTCCTGCGCCCAGAGCCCACCAAGCAGCCACCCTACCAGCTGCGGCCCTCGCTGTTCGTCCTCTCACCCATCAAGGAACCTGCCAAGGCCTCGCCTAGAGCTGCCTCGCCCAGAGCCGCCTCACCTGCCAAGCCGAGTTCCCTGGACCTGGCACCCAGCCTGCCCAAGGCGGCCCTCCCGCCGTCTCCTGCCTTGCCTCGGCCCTCCCGCAACTCACCGGGCCTCTACACCTCCCCTGGCCAGGATGGCCTCCAGCCCACTACCGTGAGCCCTACCTACAGCAGTGATATCTCCCCCGTGTCTCCCTCCAGGGCCTGGTCTCCCCGAGCCAAGCAGGCCCCCAGGCCCTCCTTCTCCACCCGTAATGCCGGGATCGAGGCTCAGGTGTGGAAGCCTTCCTTCTGCTTCAAGTAACGGACCCCACGGGGATCCCGCTGCCTGTCAGGGCCCCCCTCTCAGAGGGCTGGATGGAGAGCTGATATGGCAGGAGGTGGCACAGGGCTGACAGTCAGGAGTATGTGGACTCAGGGCTCAAGGGCTGACGCTGCCAGCGGCTAGCTTTGTGATCTTGGGCAGGCCACCTCTCCTCTCTGAGCTGCAGCTGCCCCTTCCCTACCACAGGTGGCTGGGCTCCATGTCTGAAGGATCTGAAGCCTGCTGCTGGGTGGGGAGGAGGGTCCCTGAGAGAAAGCTCCCTTGGAAGGCCCTAACGAGGCTGGGGGACTTCCCTTGGCCTTTGTGAGCAGTAGGGATGCCAGCGTCTTGCTGGGTAAAGGCCTACAAGGGAACTAACAGGGGCTTCTGGAACAAACAGAGCCTGCCCGTGCCTGTGGAACCAGCCAGCCAAGGGCCTGCCTCCTCAGCCGCCCCGGTGGGCCTGCCCTCATTGTGGCCCCAGCTCTGGCATCTTTCTGCCTGTTGCTGGATTCTCACCTCCACAGGTCTCTCTTCCACCTCTGCCTTCTGGACACTGTTTCTTTTCTGCTGCTTCAGAGACCTTTGCCTTGGCCTTCATATTTTCTTCTCTCCTGGGTTCTGCTGGATGAGGACTTAGCCCACCACTGCTGTCTGATGCTTTTCTTCCTGCCCCTCTGCTCAGCTGCCTCTGTGCCCTCTCCAAACATCTGGCTCCGCTTTCTAGACAGCTAATGCAGTTTATCCCAGACCTCAGTCCTGATTCCACCTGGCTTGCCCTCACTGTTCTGGGGTGTGGGAGGCCCCAGGGGATCCCTGAGAGAGAGCCCTGTAAAAGGATGTGCAGTGGTGGGTGTGCAGCTAGAAGAGAGCCGCTAGTGATGTATCCATTGGCTGTTTTGGCTTAACCTCAGCCAAGATCTACACGACTAAAAGCAGCCATTTCCGTGCAGTAGTAGAGGCCACAGGGGGAGAGGCGGGAGAGGCAGACTCTGGTCCCATCTCAGCCTCCCACTTGCTGTGTGACTTTGGCCAAGTCACTTTCCCTTTCTGGGCCTATTTTCTCAATGGGGGCCCTCGTAGCTGTGAGAATCTGTGAGAATTGAGAGGATAGGCTGGTGCTTTGGGAGAAAGGCCTTGTAAGTGGTAAGACAGCCCCCCCGGGAAGAGAGGGGAAGGAATGGTCCTAGTTGCTGTAGGACAGATGGGGAGAAGATGTCTGCAAGGGTATCCTGGGGAGGGTGTGGCTGGAATGAGCTGCTGCAGGAGGCCCGGGATCAGAAGTTTAGGTTGGGATGGCTCAGGCTCAGGACTGCCTGGAGACGGTGGGAGCACAGCAAGGGCTGGGTGGGAGCACAGCAGCTAGGGACGGGACCTAGGAGACCTTATGGTTTTGAGGGAAAGGCTGGGACTTATGAGATCTAGATTCTAAAACGTGGTCTCCATGTGTATCCTTGGGTCTCAGTTTCCCTATTCACGCTGTGAGGGTTTTGAGTCAGGTAGTCTGAGATCCTCACCACCTCTGAACCTTTGATGTGCTGCAGCCCCCTCCACCAAAACCAGGCTTTGTGGGGGGATGAGAGAATATAGACGCAAGAGGCAGAATTCAGATGGAAGCTTCCCAAGACTGGGGGCCGAGCACCACCCACTTTCCCTTTCCCAGCCCTATTTCTGGGCTCCCCGACGAGGCGAGGGGTGGTGGAGGCGGTGCCCATGCTGGGCTGAGCCTGCAGTTTTCGTGAGCTCTCAGCTCGTCTCCATGGGAACAGGGGTGCCTTCCCAGTGAGTTCATTCTGCCCAGAACATGGGGGCATGCGTGGGGGAGTCATGAGTGAGCTCAGCTCCTTCATGCCAGGCCCCTCCCAGGACAGAGTGAAGCCCCTGTTCCGGACCCCTGCTCCCTTCGACCCCTGAGGGCCAGCAATGGAAGAGCCCACCCTTCATCCTGCAGCTCCTGCGGCCAGGCTGGCCAAGCTCTTCCCTCAACTTTGTTTTCTCTCCTGTTCTCAATACATTCTGCCTCAAATCTGTCTTGCTTCTTTCTTTCTTCCGCGTTCGCTGGCTGGTGGTCAGGGCCCTCTCCCTCCTCCCTGATTCTGGCCTGGGAAGTGGGTGGGGTGGGGGCTGCTCAGTTACTGCGTGTGAGCCTGTGGTACATCTCCGCGTGCTGCCTGCATCTGCTGAGTGTCTGGATCTGCCAAGGGTACAGCTGTGTGCTGGCTTGGAAGTGAGGGCTGCCCTCTTCCCTCCCCGGGTCAGCACTGAGGAACCAAGATCCTGTGGAAATTGCATTCTTCTGTTTTCCTTCAAAGTTTAGCCAAAAAGTCTGTAGAGCATGGGGAAAACCCATGCCCCTTAAGGCCCAGCTTTATTTTAATTCCTTAAGAGTAGAATTTAAGTGCCTTTAGCCAGAGCATATACTCTTTCCGGTTTCCTCAGGTCACTGCCCCCCCGCAACCCTCCACCCCTATTATCTAAATCTGGCCACTTCCCACAGTCATCACCACCTGGCTCCTGAAAACAGAGTTTCTGCCCCTGGTGGAGAAGAACAAACTGCCATCAAGAGTCAGAAAAATGGGTTCTAGTCCCAGATCTGCACCTGACTCCTTGTATGACCTTAGACAACCCCTTCCACCTCTGGGCCTCAGTTTCCCCTTCCATGCAATGGGAGGATTACAGAGGCTGTCTGGGAGCTAGCTCTCTGTGCACTCTGATAGTTCCTGTCTGACTCTGCTCTGCTCATACCCTCACCCCACACACATGCCCTGCTTTGGGGCTGGGGCTGGGTTAAGTGGGTGCTCCTTTCTGAATTTTCACCCACGTGCATTTCCAAGGAGTTCTGGTGTGTACAGTGCATTAAGGTCGTTGACAGAAAGTGAATAGTTCTGATTCCCTGCAGCCTTTTGGTTGGTATTATGCACCCAGCCGCCAACACACAGACACAGACACACACACACACACACACACACACACACACACACACACAC